AGTTTTCGTTGGCCATATTGGCCTTTCCGCCAGAACCGCTTTTTCTGAAGGGTTTAAAGCCACCTCGTTGGTGACTGCCCTTTTTGTTTCCTGATTTTCCTTTTCCTTTTCTCTTCTTGAATTTGAAGTTCCGCCCCGACACTTTCCTTGCTATGAACGCATCGTTTTCCTCGAGGACCCAGAATGTCTCTTCATCGTTGTTTGACATGAATCCTTCAAGTCCTTCTTCATCCTCAACCCAGAAGCCTTCTTCTCCTTCATATTCACCTTGTTCGATGATGAAGAATGTGTTGCTTCGGTTGCCTCCTTGAGGTCGGATGGATGGATCTTGGATGGATGTCCTCGTCGTGATGAAGAGTTCATGGTAGTGCGTCTTCAGCATCTCGTAGGAGTAGTTTTCTAGTGAGATGTTTCTCAGTGACATTGCACTTGTCAGTATCTCTCTTTGCTGATCTGACAGCTCACTCTGAATGATGAAAAACTGTGCAATGAGATTATCCCCGAAGGGAAATGCGTCCCGCTGTCTGTCCTGCAGACCGAGGAGAAAATACTGTCTGAGGACTACTGGATCATCTTCATTGAGCAGGGCTGGAGGCGGTGCTCGAACACCGGCTGCTTGCTGATGTCGAGCAATTGTTCTTGCATTTGCTTCCTGCACGGATTGTCGAAATGTTGGGGACTGTGCCGTGAAAACGGGCATCAAGTCCATCCATGCTGCCTTCAATCTCATAAGAAGGATTTCGAATTTTGAGGTAAAAATGAGGAACTCTTGGTTCTGCCTTCGATGATTGAAGAAACTGAGGAGCCTGTACAGATACACGTTGGTCGCACCTTTCAACCAGTACTTCTTCAGCGTGTTCTTGAAATAGTTGACTCCTTCATCAGGATCTTGCAAAAGGTCGTTTTGGAGGACTGCCTTGTACATATATGCATCTCCGGTCAATCTGCTCTTGAGCACAGGTCCTCTCTTGGGTGCTTCCACTGTTGTGATTTTCACCCAGTCGTCCACGAGTTCTTCATACCTGAACCAGCTGACTTTTCCGTCGTACGATGGCGGCTGCTTGGCGGTCATCGATAAATTGAGTGTTTCCTCCGTATAGCCTGGATTTTTGGCCATACTTGAATAGGCTTCCATGAAGCCTTCTCCATCGGACCCTTGGATCTCTGCGGAAAACCCGCTCCGTTGATTTGGTCCCTGGATCTATTCCAGAGAGAATCCAATATGCCACTGTGGATGATTGGAGGATGGATTGTCCCTGGTGGATTGTCTTGTGGATAATCCTGTAAGCGGCCTGCTAAGGTTCTTTTGCTTCACGCGATCATGAATGATGCAATGTTACACAAAAGGGGCCTTGAGCCAAATGTTGCAGGAGATCAAGTGTTCAGTAAACCAAACACACCCCCCGCCCCCGCCCCAAGCCCCTCCCGCCCCGCCTGCGCCCGGGCCAAGGTCTCCTTGGCGTGGCTCAGCACCTCCCAGATCCGCTGCTTCTGGCAGGCCCCGCGGCCCAGGGCCAGCGCGCAGCCGGAGAAGACGCAGGCCTTGCCGCCCTCCTGGCAGCTCTCCGTTTTCAGGTCTCCGGCGCAAAGTTTGTAGCTCTTAGTGGGGCTAAATGCGGAAACCCAGGCACTGAACCAACTAAAAAGACAAAAAGCTAGAGGGACGGTTGGATGGAAATTGGTATGGAAATTGGTGGTGAGTTGGGGTGTGGTGAGTTGGGGTGTGGTGAGTTGGGGTGTGGTGAGGTTCCCAAGCCTCAAATCCAACCCACCAATGAGATAAGATTCTCCTGACAACTGGTGGGTTGGTTTTGCTTGGGTGACCAGTTTTTCAACGGCCCAGGACCTGAGCGGGGCCGCCCTGACCAAGTGGCCATTTCCAGTCTCAGTTTCTGGGTGAAGCAAGCACCAAGGACGGCTGACATATTGGAAATCAGACACAAACATTCCCTCTGTCCACCAATCATGGAGGTGGACAAGGGGCCTTTTCAAGAAGATGACAGTCTTCCCCAGCCCCTGAGCCCTTTTTTACGGCAGTGCTGGGGTTCTTGCGCCGCCTTTGCAACGCCTTCTCCCCCCCCTATCCAAAAACATCGCGGGCTCCACATCTCTCCTCGTTGAGCCACTTGTTCGCCTGGCTTCCGAATCCTATCCCAGTTGGTCTCCCTGGCGCATCCCAAAATCCCAACCCAACGCTTGGGACCCACCACCTACTCTTGAACAAGCCAAACACGTGTCCCCATGGCCCAAACACCCGGCAAATGACAACACTTCTTCCTTGAGCTTTTCTTGAAAGACCTGCTTTCTCCGAGAGATGCCAAGCCTCGCAAACGCGCGTCCAAGCAAAGGCTAAGCGACGGGCCACCCTTTCAACCCCATGACTACCTCACCTTGGGCCCCCTCAGCATGACCCTTGTACTTGGCCCAACTCCTGTGGTACACCGAAGGTATGTTCAGAATCTGCTTCATGTTAGACAAATGGTATTTTCAGAGGAGACCTCAAAGCGTAAAATGGCGTCAACAAATGACTCTGCCAGACCTGATCCATTGGGTATCATTTTATTCTTTGGGGTTCCAAAGTTCTGTTGGGCTTTCGCCTAAGAAATGGGAAGTTGCCCTTGATCCATACCTGCAACGTCGACCCCGGCCACCACAAAGGTTGAAACATGTTTGGAACCATGTCTCTCTGGGGTTGATCTTTCTAGCGATCAACCCGCCAAACTTCAGAAGAGCTCGGGTACCACGCGGAGTCCACTGAACGATTGGGAAGTCGCTGAAATGAGGGTAGCTTTTCAAAATACGTCAGCTTCCAGTTCCCAGCTTTGGCTTCCCCCAACCCACCCCACCCACCCACCCACCTACCCACCTACTCACCCCACCCACCCACCCACCCACCCACCTCCTCACTCCGCCACCCGTCTCCAGTCACCCGGCTCCGGCCTCATGGAGCGGCGCGGCCACCAGCCGCCGCAGCGCCTCCAAGAAGTGCCTCGCGGGCGACGTGGGGAGATGGAGCTCAGAGGTCCCACCATAGCCCACGACTTGCATACCCTTCAAGCCCACCCCAAGCCCGTGCCTTTTGCTCCAGAAACAACTGGCATAGCAACAAACCCCTGGTTGATTAACAGGGGGGGTGTCTGCTTCTAGTGGGGATTCAGACCACTTTTCGAGGGAGCACCCCCCTAATAATGGGACGGGTTTATTAATCCTGGGTCAACATTACCCCAAGCCCATGCCTTTCCAGAGACAACTGGCATAGCCGGCAGAGCGGCATACCCATGACCACACCCCAAAGCAAATGGCGGTTGTGCAGTTTTGCATGGGGCTTTACAGGGTACGTACCCCAAAAAACATCCCTATATCGTGCCTGTAGGTGTAACGTGCATCATTTGGGTATGTAAGTTGGCCCGCAGAAAATTCATGTCCCGGCATATGGTTCTCACTCTGGAGTTCCTTGACTTGAGGAATGCATCCAAACAGCCTCACAAGGGGATCCTCTTAGCCATGTGGTAGATGCGATTTTCTGAGGAACCCCCCCCCCCCCAGAAACTGCTCCAACAACAACCCTTTGGAAAATTCAAGATCCAAAGAGCCCAGTAGCATCCAGTAACCAAAAAAGACCTGTAAAAAAACAAGTATGTTGTTTGGGGGGGCTCTCCTAAAACCAAAGCCTCCCCTCCCGCCGATGTCTCCATGGGTCGGGCGGGGAAGGGGGGGGGGGGAGGGGGAGCCCAACTAAGCCCTTAACAAGGCCTTATCTTCCATTTGCTTAAGCCACCTGGCAAAATAAACATTTGTCCAGTAGTGATAGGTTCCCTTTAGGAGTTGTTTTTTTTTTTTTTTTTTAAACTTCCCCCGCTGCGCACGCCCTCCTCGTGCGCCCCGTGGCCATCTCCAGGCGCCAGCCCAGCGGCCCGTCCGCCGCGCTGAGCGCGGGGCGGCGCTCCGGCGCCCAGCGCCCGCTGCCGTGGCTGAAGCCCCCGGCGCCAACGGCGGCGAAGGCGAGGAGCCCAAGGGCGGCCATGGCGCTTAGGGCGGCCATGGCAAGCGGGGGTTTGGAGGGGTGGGGTTGGAGGTAGGGGGAAGGGGGAAGGGGGGGGGTTGGAGGGGGAAGGTGCCCACACAAATTCGCCGGACACGGGTGTGGAAAGGGGGGCAACAAGTGGACAAAAAACGGCCTGACAAGTCTGGCTGCTCAAACCCTCCCAAGGTCTACAAAGGGAGCAGCCGATGGGTTGGTCTAATCTAGGTTGAGTTGGCAGCTTCTCTGGGCTGGTAAAGAGAAACCAAAAGGGATCAAGCCGTTTGAAGTTTAATGGTTCACCATCTGGCCAGATGGGCCACCCCACTCAGGGGCGGTTTCCCTTGAAGTTCCCCTTAAACTTCGAAGAACATACCTCCAATCTTCCAAGCAAGCCACGACGAAATCTGCCCAGGATGGGTGGTTCATTGTTAAAAGTTCGTGTTGAACCCCTAGACGCCTGCGCGGCAAGCTGGCGAAGGTGCTGGAAGCCCCCTTTTCAAGTACACACACAAGAAATCAAGAAGGCTACCGATACCTGGCCCAAAGGGAGGGCTGCGTTCCTTTGCACATGATGACCGACGTGCATCCCAAATAGCAAAGTGTCAAGATGCGCGGATTCATGTGGGCCGCTTCACCTTTTCAAGGCGACCCTTGTCCGTAGCCCTTGCTACTGCTTTCAACACAATACTGGATGCTTCCAAAAATTCTCTTTTGCACACTATTCAACCGGGGTCCCTGATTGTAGGAACCTGCATCGGAGCACGACGTCTTTTTGGGGGCACCCGTTCTTGTCACACCTTCACGGCAGTCTCTGCGATTTCTACACCCGGAATCGATGGCTAAGCCCTCCAGTAGAGAGGTTGGAATAAGGGTACCTTTTATTTCTGCAGTCTATTTTAGTAGACGAAAACCCTCCGCCAAAAAAGGGGAGAGAAGGGCACTGGGGGACCTTGAGATCACTTGTCGGGCCCCCGGCGTCGTGCTGCTGACGGCCCACGAGCGTCCCAACGAACTCAAAGTAGTTCAGGCTGCCCTCGCGCCCGGCATCCCGGCCGAGGCAATCCGGGAGGCAATCTGGGAGTGCGACCGCTATATCGGTATGTCCCCACCCTGGCGAAGACTAGGTTCAGCATGTAGATCGATCATGGGACAAATGTAGATTAACCATATACTACATGTAGATTCATCAAACGCCGCGCTTTGTAGATTCTAGACTAAGCATTGGCAAATCCAAGTCCAATACCATTGGCAGACCGCCCCCCCGTTTAGATTGCAGAGGCTAGGCATGCGAAGGAGACCATTGAATCGTGTGGTTAACCCAACGGCAAAAGCCAGCGCAATTCTGAAATCAAACGTGCAAGCCCCCCCCTCCCAAACTAGAGGGAAACAATTTGCTCACCAAGAATCCCACCGCACCTGCTGCGTCTCTGGCTTTTGTAGCCTTGGAGGGCGAAAGACGATCCACTACAAACAACTTTAGATGTATGCAGGGACGGGAGGGAAACGTTCTGCACCTGCAGTTATTACCGACACATGTTACTCTATGTCGAAGAATGCACCACCCCGCCAAAAGCAATATTCAAATGAGGGCCCTGGAACGATTCGGCAAATGAGTATCCAATTTGTTGCCGGTGCCTCACTGTGCTTTGTAACATCTGATGGCCCCACTGCGACACACCGCTTGAAGCAGGGGATGGCTGACTTCTGCTGCAGACAATTCTCTGAATCGAAAAGTGCGAATGAGACCATTCTCATCAAATTTCGGCTCCTTGCCCATTTTCCGGTCCGTGCTTTGTTCCTGAGCGCTGGGCCACTTCCTCGCACCAGGCCACGGCACCCCACCTCAGCTACCGGGGTGGGTGGGGGTGTGGGCTGTGGGTGTCCGAAGGGCTGGGGGGGAGCCGCGGGGGTTGCGGTATCAGAGGGGGCTTCTTCAGAAACGTGGCGACTCAGTCCGTTGAATACCGGATTCCTCTTGCATGGATTCTGGCCGCTCCCACACACCCTGGAAGCTGGCGCTTCTGCATGGTGGAGCCCTTTGGGTCACGACCCTCTTTCAAGGCACCAAGCAACACCAGCCCAACTCATGGCACCTTCGCATGCAGCAGTCCGGGCGCCTCGATTTGGGATGGCAAGCCTCGCTTCCCCCGAGCAGGGGCTGCTCAAGCACGTCAGCATCGCGAGTGTCAACTTCGGAGCGGTGAGTGCTGGCTCCAAAGTTTGGTGGGGAGGTACTACATTTTAGGTGGATTCTATGCTCCACCCGAACTGGATAGAAGGTGGGCCCCTCCCCCCTCTATACAACAGTTCATCGTGGAGCATATAATATGGGGAAGGGTTTCTTTATCGGGGTACCCCAGCCCAAGTCTGTGGCACATACCACAAAAAACAGGTTATGCTTCATATTTAGTGAACTTTGGTAAATTTGCGGAGGGCCTACTTAAGTTTGATGTTGACACGATCGCAACCAAGCTCTTGGGTCATGGCTACCTTGGAGATACTTCTTGCAGCACTGCGTCATCTCTTGCCCGCTGATCTCCTGCAAACCCCCGAAGGAATCTCGCGGTCTTAAGGCGAGCATCGGGACTCACAACACGCTTGGTCTTTCCTTTCGGCTTCCTTCTCAATCCCGGCAAAAGGGGGCTCTCTCAGACACCCGCATGTTCCGCTTCATCTCTTTTGCTGACCTCATGTTTCGCTTGGCACATCAGCCGCCAACGCCCGTCTCCCCGTCAGCATTGGAGTCGGCATCGAGAAACAGCTTCAGCAGAGTCTCGATGACCTTGCCGCCAAAACATGCAGCCGCTTGAATCGAAAAGCACAAGGCAGCTTTTTTCGCACGCGCAATAACCCCCACATCGCGATGAGAAGTGGAGATGGGTACAGCTGCACAAGTGCGTGAAAACAAGCAAAAGAACGTCGGGCGCAGAAAGCTGGACAATCGTCTAGCTTTTCCCAGGCGCCTCCCTAAGGAACTCAATGCATGCTGCCAAATGAAAGCATCAAGCCCAACAGCCCTGCCCTTATAATTTTCTGTAGGTGGAAGAGGGTTTGAGGGTGGAAAGCCTATAGCAGCTTCGGCTGGCCTCCAAAGAGGAAGTGCGGCGGTGAAGCTTTGGCTGCACCGAGGCTTTCGGGTTGTACATGGCTGTGGGTCAAAACCAGTGGTACCATTTTGTGGTAGGTGCACCACCCATTTTAGTCTATTTTTTAGTCTATTTTAGTAAGGATTGGGATGTTCACTGGGGGTACGGGAGTTTTTGACCCAGGCCATATGGTGTCAAACAGGCGAGCCAAACGAATCTCCTTTGTCTGGAGACAAAGGACAGGGGGCTGTCATGGGAATTCAGTGAAGCCCATCAGCCAAGTGCTCAGATGAAACATCAGGCAAAGGCAACAAACCCCTGCGGAGTTCACATGAAGCTCGGCATTGGCCCTTCGATATGGGTTCCAGACGGTTCCAGAGGGCTCGACCCTTTCAAGTCGCCTTGGCTATGACCTCCCCGGACTCTCAGAAGCGAGCCTTGGGTGAGTCCCTGGTCGCTTTGGCCAGCTCACCCTGGAAGCGAAGCGCGAAGCTGACCATCTTTAGGGAGAACCCTCCAAACAAATCTGTTCACCATCCCACCCACAACAGAAGGAACCCGACTGGGGTGCTGGTTTGGACAACTTTCAGAGAAAAGGACCCTCTGGTGGAGTCCATCTTTGTCGGGAAATCCGAGTTGGGAAGCAATTCCGCATCCCAAGGCGGGGATCAGACATGAGAAAAGACAGCAAACTCACAAGGAACTGCCTTGCGAGCCACCAAAGCCGACTTGGCAAAGATGCTTGCAACAAACACCAGCAACGAACACTTGGCCATACACTCAGCACAGGAAAAACCGCTGCTTGTCCAATGGACCTGGAAACCAAAAAAGATTCCCAAACCGGAAAGCCCAAAGATTCGCCTTTTGCCAGCGAGATCCAAGTGGTGAACAGCCAATGGAATTCCAAGCAGTACCAAAAAGAACGGTTGCCGCTCTCCATTCCGGGCGCCTGCAGGATGCCCAAAGCGTGGCTGCCTCGGGGGCTGTGCAGACTTTGGCCTATCCCAACCCCAAATCCCCGGCCTCCCCTATACTCTTGCATCCGTAGTTCGCCCGTCCAGGCTACCCCCTCCTTGATGGTGCTCAGTAAAAAATGACCTTCTGGGTGTTGGGAATGAACCTGCAAATTCCCCGAAAAAGGAAACCAAGTCGGGGATGTGTTTAATAGGGGTCATTCCATTCGCTCCTTCCCTGCATCTCCACTGATCGCAAGTCCCACACCCACTCCTCCCCACTGGCAACACAAATCTGAGGCATCGGCTGGGCGCTGAGGCCTCCAACATCCAGTAGTGCACCCACTCCTCCCGAGTGGCCGCCTTCGGCCTGCGGCAGGCGGCCAAAAAGGCTCCAACGGCGAAAGCCAACCAATGGCAGGGACAAAGCCATTGCCAGTGGGGGAGTCAGAGAAGCCAAACGAAGCCACTCAATGAGGAAGGGTGCTGTGAGAAAAACAGGGGCTGCGTTGCTCCGCCGAAAGCTGGGAATGCCGAGAAAGCCCGGCAGTGTGCGCCAGCGGCAAGGTGGGACTGACACCTCTTCCAAGAGAGATGCTCGCCCCTCCTTCGCACCCACAGTAGCTTTGACCAGTTGAAACCGCATGACACGTGCAGGGGCCGTTTTCTGAAAGGCGGCGACGGTGGACTTCAGGTTCGAGGCGGCCCGCCACTTTTTTGGAGCCCTACTCCATGCACACGATCAAGCTCGAGCGGGAGTTACGGGCACTCTTGCAGCCTGAAATGGACGGACCTACCGTAGGCTGTTTTTCGGCCTCGGATAGATTCCCAAAGTCCTCTTGTGGGAAATCATGCTGGGGTGCAAGGAGCCTGAACCCTGATCATGCATCAAGGCCTTTGCCGGGCTCCCCGGAGGTCTTGCCCAAGGGCCGCTCCGTTTCATTTTGAGTGGGGCCCAAAATTGCTCCAACTTGGCAGCTTCGGATATGTTCGGGCCTGCTTTTCAACTGGGACTTGCCTGCAAGACTAAACCGGCGTTCAGATCATTCCCCAGCACATCCTCAAAATTCACTTCACTGGCTGTGGATGGCCCACAAAAAGTTCAAACTTTATACTTACCACTAAAATGGTCTTCCCAAAAAGTTCTTCCCAAAAGTTACACACACGGCTGCCTCCCCAACCGTCCAGCCTGGCAAGGCCCATGCGCGCAAAAAGGCCCTCCGCCTCTGCCAGCACCAGCTCGCGACCCTGGCGTCACTTGCTATCCTTCCCACTAACATGGCGCCTGTGGAGGGGCATCTGGAAGATCAGTTCCCCCTTGGAGGCTTAGAGGGACCGGGTCCTTGTCTGGTGCCATGTTCGTGGGAGAGGGGGTAACTGTTGAACCCCAGGGTTTCGGGCGACACTACGAATTCTCCACCCTAGTTTAGAATTGCCATTCCGGCCCATGTAAGCCTCTTCGAAGTAGGAGCCTTTCGGCATAGCTGCGGTTTGCATGTCCCCAAGCCGAATCATCGTTGCTTCGTTACGCCACTCGGCCTGCCCAAGTACACGCCCAATCCAAACAGAACTCAGGCCCCTCCTAGCTCGCCAATGTACCAAACAGCAACGAAACACCACCATGGAAAATTGGATGAAACCGTTGGTTGCCCATCCCAACAAGCATCTGTGTTTCCGGCCTATTCTTTCACAAGCCAGCTGCCGGCGTAGAGAAACAGCCAAACCAACTCCCCAAAAAAACAGGTTGTTGCAATCAAATCAGACTCTCCAGTAGGCCAGAGGCCAGTTGCTTGCCCCCTGCCTCCTCCGCCTCCGAGGTGAGTGGCAGGGCCTGTGCCAGCCACTGGGACACCGCCACCTGTGCAGCACTCGCGCGGGGCCGATGAGGTTGCCCGCGTGAGTGTGCCAGCCAGCCGCACTGAGGCAAAGGCAAAGGAACAAAACCAAAGAGATCCTTGCAACAACAAAAACGCACACACACACAAAAAAAATGCCCGCCCAGAAGTCAAAGGGCCTATCAGCTTGCCTATGGGCCAGAATTAGACTCATTGTGAGCATCATCGTCGCTTGCTTAATGAGAGTCCTTGGCTTGGCCGTCACTGCTTTGAACTTCAAGGGAAACCAAAGCTTAAAGAAGCTGAGAGGGTCTATCTCGAGGTCATTTGCTCGTTTGTGGCAACATGCGCAAATACCCCTGCTCATTTGCTCACCCTGAAAGCCCGCACCGCCAGCTACAGACAAAAATGCCGCAGGCGGATTTTGCACGTCGCACTCTCTGCCAGGCGCTCGCGGCGAGCGCTGCTTTGCTGGCGCAAAGAACCCGTCCGGGGGCGTCCCGTCCGGGCGTGCGCTTGGAAGCCCTCACCGGTCTGTGCGGCCCTTCTTCTGGTAGTACTTGATGTAGTCCACCTTTTTGGCTCCGGAGGCTGTGCCGGACGCAACTACATCCACCCACAAAACATCTTTCGGCCGACTGTGAACCTCAGAAGCGCTCAAAAGCTGGCAAGGAGCCAAGGGAGCCAGTCAAGTTCAAGCTTTGGCTACGGCCTCAAGCACCCCCCTCAAACCTGTTCGCTAGCATTGGTCACTGCCGCCACTTCCACAGAGTTTGTGTACTTGAAAAACTGACGAGTGTTAGTATGTGAAATATTGATGACTTGCAAATGAATGCTTAAAGCCAGTAGCAGCACCACCACCACAAGCACCACCAGAGGCACCAGCACAAAGCACAAGCACCACCACAGGCACTTTCACAACTACCACAACTAGCAGCTGGCAGGACGAAAGAGAACCAGTCACGCCTCTGGCTCCAGCTCACTCCTTGGCTCGCTCAGCCGGCAGCCCAGCCCCCGGTGTCTCGCCTCCAGCGTGGTGGGGAACTCCGACAAGGAGGCGTCGCCGCCGGTGTGGCCGCCCACCGCCAGGTTCAGAATCATGAAGAACTTCCTCCCAGCAAGGCTCCCCACCTCTCCCCTGATATGCCCGTGGGTCAAAACCAATGGGATCCCATTTTGGGGCAGGTGCACCACCACCAATGGTCAAAACCAAGGAAACTGCAAAAAGGCCCCAGGTTGGATGATTGAAGCCTCCAAGGGACATAGAGTGCAGCCTGGGCTCCATATGCTGACCAGCAGCCAGCTTCTCAAAATGGTGGACTTCCGTCGCTTGGCATTTCAAGGGAAGTTCACAAGGACACGAACCCTTTCAGGGGACGAGTCAATCACTCAGATTTGCCCCAAAACGTGCCACGGCCGGCATTGCACCGCGAAGTGACACGCCGGCAAAACAGCACATGTCTGTGTGGCGCGCATACCCTGGAAGCTGGAGGGCACCCCCAGCCCCGCCGCCCTCCTCCTCTCCCGTTGCGTTTTTTCGAAGTTGGGGACGGAGAAGAAGAAACAAAAAGGCGCCGTCGCCTCTGAAACACTGCCCTCCCCTTCCGCCTATGCCACCCAATCTTTCGAGCAGAGTCGCCTCTGAAACACTGCCCTCCTTTCACTCCTCCCCCCCTGACCCCTCACCCACAGCTCCCTCCCACCCTTGGACCCCCGGTCTTGTCGCTGGTGAAGGGGTTGGGCCAGGTGGTGCGCACCGGGTCTGCCACGGACAAGTCCAACTTCAGCAGCTCCTGGACGACCATTGTGGGGGTCAGTGGCGGCCATTGTGTCTCTGGGCTTGATCTGTGCTTGGAATCAGACCACCTTTGGAGGGGTGTTCCCAACTCAGAAACTGGTTGCTTGATGCATATGGGCCATACGGGGTCAACATTGGTACCCTAATGGTCCTGATGGAGTCGGCCTCCAAATGTGTCACGGGCATATGACTCTGGCCACGTGCGGCCACAGGGCACCTTCTGTGGTGACCAACCGGTTCTAGCTGCAGTTCCTTGATTCTGTTTAGGGATCTTTCTCGTCGGCAAAATGCCAAATCAAAGAACTCCTGGGAGCTTCTCAAGCATGGTGGAAGACCATAGGGGAATCAAGCTTTGGATTGAATGCCCTTTTTGAATGGGGTCAAGCTTCGGCTGCTGACATCTTGAAGCAAAAGGGGTCATGTGATCTTGTCCGAAAACGAGGATCCTATATCAAGCCAGGTGAGACTCACATGTCCCATGCCCTGGAAAATGGGTAAGAAAGCGATTTGCTCAACAAAATGCAAGGCAATGGGTTATTCCCCCCTCTTTTTCCGACCGCATAGGATCACCCAAAAACCGTGAAATGCGAGCCACTTCATCGGACCAAAGCATACTCCTCGGGTAAACATGAATTATTCACGCCCTTGCGGCTTCTTTTTGGCAAAGTGCATTGGTGGAAAAACATGAATCTTAACCCATGCTCTTGGAGAAACGTACTCACCCAGCCCATGCTATTTCTTTTGGTAGCTAGTGTGTCTAGACAAGAATCAGGCCGTTGGAATATTCCATGCCCTCGTTCGATAACATCCACACCGTCACACCCTTGAGGCTTGTAAATCGGCTTGGAACAAGCAGAGTTGGCCTTGGAATAGCTAGGTGCTCACATGTGTTCAAAGACAAGAAGAACAACCCATCCATGGGATTTAGCTCTGGGCAGCTCCTGCCGGTCTACGCGGATGATCACAAAGTCCTTGTCCCACTCCAAGGTCCAGGTATGAAAGTGCTTCTGCCACTCCTGGACCAGTTCCCCCGCTAGAGCCGCTGCTGATTTTTTTTGCCTAGGACTGCTGTTCTTCTCAGCGCCGGGTTTTAGGGGGCAGCGCCACTTTGGACCTCGGACCTACCCTCGGCCACCGACCCCAGAGCCAATGGGCAACCCCAGGCCCCAGGCCCAGGCTGAGGCAAAAATGCGGCGAAGCAACCGGCCGATAATAAGAAAAATAAAAAAATAACTTGTCTTAGAATTAGAATATGTATCATGAGTTGTCTTAGAGTTAGCTTTATTTTTTTATGGCGATGGTAATAATAACAACTTTTGGGTCTGGGAAGTTCAGGAAGCTCCATTCCCTTGGTGCCCTTTAGGGAGGAAACTAACAATTAGGAGATAAACAAAGGCTCTCCAATAACAAGGCGCAGGGGACTAGTCATTTAGTACACATTTGTGCCAGAAAAAGCCGAATAACCTTGCAGAACATAAGGGCAGCACAGCGGCACGAAACAGGAAATGCGGGTCAAAAGTTGAGATGTCAGAAACCAGCTGGGGTTCGCCCCAAAACTGGCAGCACCCCCCAACATGACCTTCATGTTTCCCTTAAATCAGCTATGGGGGTCTTAAAGTTGTGAAAGCCCCGCGCCCAAGTCACCTCGAGCCTGGAGCCTCTTGGCGCTCATGCTTGCAAACATCAACCAGCATTCAAACCGGGCTTCTCAATCGCAACCGGTGCTTGGCAAAAAAAACACACACACACACACACACATATATATATATATACAGAGCTGGGATGGGTGATAACTGGCTTTCAAGAAATGGGATAACCAACCTGCCTGGTGCGCAATGGACTTCATCCTCCCGGTGTAAACCAAAGCCTCCCAACGTTGCCGAGGTGCCGCGTCCAGCAGCCGCGCCGCGGCATGGAACACGGCGCCGCTGGGGAGCCCGTTCTCCCCGGCGTGGATGACGCTGGCCTTGAGCATGCCTCAGGGAGCCGGGTTTCTCATGGGAAGCTGAAGGGAAATGCGAAGCAGACGTCGGCTTTCCATTGCCTCCTTTTTTTTTGACTGTGGCCAACAATCCCTGACCAGCCCCTTCCTTGAGGGAGGCGGGTTTGCCAGGTATGGCATTGCTTCGCAATTGCAGGGAGCGTACACCGCAAACGGCCCAGATATGTTGGGCGAAGGCGATCACAATGGCGATTGAGGTGGGCCATGCATGAAAGTGGTTGTGGCCCATCTGCTTGGGGCACCCAGGGGATGCCAATTTCACAAGAAGTGGTACCTAGGTGCGCTGGTAAACCGACAGGGCCATCAAAACAGATACCCAAGTAGCAGCCTGTTGCTCTTTTTCTATTGCGATGTCAGTGGAAACTCTGCAGCAAGGTGGGTCCTTGCCTTGGAAGGCATCCATGATGTCAATCTCGCCGTTCCTGGCTCGCTGACCCGCGCAAACGTAAGAGACTACCAGGTGCACGCGCTGCGAATGTTCAAGACACCATTTTCGACAAGCTCAAGCCAAGCCGCATCATAGCAGCTAAGGGGTTCCGGCTATCTTGAACAGTGCTTCCCCCAAAAGATCCCTCTTTGAAAATCAAGGGAGCCCCTGTCGCATCCCTAAACATCCCTAGGTTCCATGCCCAGGTCAACTTTGTTTTGTTGGAGGAGCATATTTATCTGGGGAAAGTTCCCTCATTTCAGGTGCATTCCTTTGATTGGCATGGTCCCCCTTGGTGAAACAACGCGGTGGGCCGGTGAGAGCCGAGTGTCTTGGGCCACGGCACGTTCTCAAAGTCCCCGATGGCCCACCAAGAGGACCAGGCCCCCGGCCGGGTGTCGATCTTCGCTCGCATTTCCAGCATGCCGTAAGAGAACTCCTGAAAACCAGGCTCGAGACAAATAACGAAACGAGCGTGTGGGAGCTTGTGCCCGAAAAATAGATGATCGTCCCTTGAAATTTGACCCCTGCAAATAGTTTCAATTCTGCTAGTTATGCGCGAATGAGTCCTTTGCCCAATCGTTGAATGGTTAACGGACGTTAAAAAGGTCACAGTAAAAAGCAACGAAGAAAAACAAGAGGCGCATGCGACGTATCTTTTAGAGGGCGCAGTTCACTTAATTTGAAGGGCCCCATCAAACCTCCAACCCCCTCCTCCGCCAAAGGCCCTCAACCCTCACGCCCCTTCCCCCCCCCCTCCCCCCCCCCACCACCCCACCCCCCCCCAACTCCCCAA